TGCTATTTCACGCTGTCATACTTTATTGTCGCCATGGATGTCAACGCGTGACCTCGTGTTCTGGCACCGGAGCAGGAGCCATTAGGGATGCTACCATAGAGTTTCCCACAATACTTACTAGAGGGAACTCTGGCACTAGTGTCTATGAGAGTTGGAACACACGGCGCTTCAGCGAGCATGGGAATGATGGGTAGTACACACATTTGTCTGAACTTCGTACTTCTGGCCTGCTCTTGGCTCCGTGTCTGTTCGTGTGGCCTGAAGCTGTCTTCTCACGAAACAAAAATCAGCAAATGTTCACCGTTTGCGCTTCACCACCCTATTTTTTTCGAATTACGTTTCTAAATTGGGTCAGGAAGTTCAAAAGGGTAATCTTTCTTTTAAAACGAAACCGAAGCACAGCTGTAAACGAAGCCGCAAGTACGATTCGCCACCCGCAAGTACGAAGACTAGGCAAATGTGTGTACTACCAATCATTCCCATCGTCGCTGAACGATCGCAGCGCCAGAGTGCCCTCTAGTTAATTTTGAGAAACTCTATGGATGCTACCAACTGTGTAGGCGCGCCCTCACGCCCGCAACCAATCAGAACCGTTTCTCTTCCGCCACGAATAGGAAGAAAGAAAGGACAAAAGAAAATTAAAGGGCCGTTCACGCTCGCGCTAAGCTTCGCTTGCCCGATAGGGGGACAGCTTTCAATTTTTTTATTTCATGTACAGGGGGAGTCAAAAGTCCCCAGGCCATGCTCTTATAGGAATACGTGGGATAGTGGCCTGGGAACTTTTGACCCCAACCCTGTACATCCAAGTATTTTTTTTTCAGGCATTCCGAAATCCGCGTCGTTCATATCTATAAAATACATCGTACTACGCTACCGCAGGTGAATCGCATTTTTATGTTTACCAATAATCACGAGCCCATGATAATTTTCTGGTAAAAGACAATAATTATTGCCAGTTAATTAGCGGCTAACTACTTCGGATGATGCCGCTAATGTCGAAAGCATGTATATGATGTAACAGTCCGTAATCTAGAATGACTTTAGAATAGTATGTTCAGTAAATAGTCCGTAAATTTCACTTCACAGTTCTCCGGCCTGGTTACGTAAAAGTATTACTGAAAAATAGGTTCGGAGAAACACATGGCCGCATCACCAGTTTGAGCGATTTCCACGCACCGCACAACAACCCTTTATGAATGGATCGGTTGCGTTCGTTTCATTATCAACAAATAGGAACAACGCGCTGCTCCCCGGTCACTTGTACTAGTCCACACTTCATGCATTAAGAGAAAAATTCCTACGCCACAGCAATGTAAATGCTACACTCGAGGACATAGAAAGCCCAGGAACACCCCACAACTAGAGCGTACTACAACAACCATGGAGTTAATTAACTCAGTGGCAAGCATGGATTTTCTGCTGCGTGAAAATCTCAAAAATGGCTCATTGCTATTTTTCGTGCAACATACACATAGACTAGAAGAGACAAACACCACCTCCTCCGACGTCGATGTGTTTGTAGCGGAAAAAAATAACCATGAATCAGTACCAACTCACCCGACTTTCAAGTTTCTTGCTCAAGAATGGCGCCCAGGGTGAGTGGATGGATAAGTTAGGGTGGCTAGAATGAGGAGGTGTGAAAAGCGGCTGCTGAAACCGGTCCCCAAAGCGCGCCGATGCCGCTTGGAGCGCTGCACGCAGAGGCGTGGGTACTTTTGCGCAGGCTACATACGAATGAGCGCGCGCTGCTCTCCGCAAAAATCTCTCTCTCATGCAGTTAGACGCAGGCCCGTAGGCGGGGGGAAAGGGGTCCCCCCTAGTTTATAGCAAGTGCCCCCCCCCCCCCCGAAAAAAAATTCTGGCTACGGGCCTACTCTCACGCTTTATGGCGGTTGCCTATTTTCGGTGAAAACCTTTTTATTGAGTCAATGTACGACAATACTTAAGATACTGAAGTTACGTAATGTCTTACGTGGCTTAAGTATCTCTATATTTTCTCGCCTCTGAAAACTATTCTCGAGAAGGCATATGAGCGAGACCCGACACCAACTTTTGTGGATTTCGTAGCATTGCGGTTACTCACGGCAAAACTGCAGGGGTGTTACGAGACGTTGCGATTACTGGAAGGCTTCATATTACTTAGAGCATCTTAAGTTCCTTCATCTACGAGCAGAAACATTGGTACAAGAGCATCGTTTTGCTGCTTCGCCGCGAACGCATAATCTTGTGCAAGTCGCAGCTTAAATTCTCACTTAGCATTCTATTATCGGTTTCCAAACGTAAAACTTTTAGCAGCCTACGATTGCTCATTAACTTAGACGAGTGACGCTGTAAGAGCACTAAAACTTACTGTAAGCCGCGAAGCCTGTGACTTGAGGATTTTCCCAGCAGCAGAAATAGAAGAAACACTTTTTTTAACAAAAACATAACTTTATTTTCATGCATGCCAAGGTATTCGGTCTCTGCCACTAGAGTACACATGGCTTAACTCTCCGCCCTTTCTTTTCGTCTTCTTTTTGGTTGATGCCTTTCAAAAAAAAAAAAAAGTGGACACGAGGGAGGCAATAAAATCGCACCAGAGTTTCGGTCAAGAGAGCACCATGCTTTGGGCAGCCAATTTGTAGTGTCTCGCCAATCCCCTTCAGCATCTCTATGGCCGACTTGGCGTGAAGACGTGCTGAGCTCAAGAAGCGAGTGATTTTGTCCTCAAGGTTCAGAATGAGGGTATAAAAGGAATTCGACGGATACAAAAGTCCGCCCAGATCCCACAGCTTGCTCGCCTGGGCTGGGAGATTTCCTGGCACATTTTCTCTCGAGACAAGACGGGCGTTCTTGCACTCATCACAATTAATGCTAAGTATACGCTTTCTCGCAACGTAGCCTGCGACATAATATACAAGGCGGGAGTCACTTCGCTCAGCAGTGCACGATGCATGATCTATCGGCACCCAGGCACAAAGCACCAACGCTGGGTCTTCTTTTTTACTGTTGACATCCTCGGGCATTTCAGAGGGACCTAGCGCAAACAATGACTGATGGCGTGCTTGCAATGTAGCGACTGCTTGCGAAGAAAATCCCAGCGCACCTGCAGCAAACGCAGGGAAGTGCGCCGCCCCCTACCCACACCGCTGCCATCAGCGCTCCTTGCGGCATCGGCGCGCCGAGTGACCCTCTCCGACAAGCGAAAAGCGCCCCGCTCATCACACCTCCCCATTCTACCCACCCTAGATAAGTCACAGAACACCTAAATACACGGAGCTTTTAGATGCGGAAGCATCTTATACTCGCGCCTTGTAGTGCGCCGTTCGCGCCGTCCGCACCGCTTCTCGAACATTCGACAGCTGACGCGCGCGCATGCGCCGTCGCCCACTCTTCCACCATCTGTGCATCCCTTCCTCCTCTACACACCGCGCGCGCTTCACTCCTCCACCATCTGTGCACCCTTCCTCCTCTACACACCGCGTTCGACATCTACAATTCTCCTGATTCTCCAGTGGACGCGCATGTGGCGTCGCGCTTCGAGAACATTCAACAGCTGACAGTGCATGCGCCGTCGTGCTGTATATATACTCAAGGTCGGCGCTCGCTCGCTCAGTTGCCGCTCGTCGGTTGGTTTGTACGGCGCGTCGACGTCCAAGGTCGCGGTGAAATGAATTCCAACGAATCCACAAACACAATGATCGACGTCCCTTCGACCAGCGCCGCCCTTTCGCATACGTGTGTACGTGTTCACTCATTTAACACCCCCTCCTACAACCACGTTAACCAATTTAGCCATCGACCCAAGTAAGTCGCAATTTAACACCCCATTTCACAACCACGTTAACCAATTTAGCCATCGACCCAAGTAAGTCGCACTTTAACACCCCGTTAACCAATTATATGGTCCGCATCCTCCTCAGTGCTCCCCCGAGGGAAGCTGCGGGCAATTTTTTTTTTTCCTCCAGGCCCACGGAGGAAGGAAAGCCATTCCAATTTCCTTCATCCGTGGGCCTGGAGGAAAAAAAAATTGAGTGCTGTACCCTTTAGATTGGGCAGCGGCTAACGCCACCTAGCCGTAATACCTTTAGCGCGGTGCATCGCAGCGCCAATGTGCGGCTGAGTCCAATTGTTCCACATCAGTACAATAACGAGTATGATTAGAATGTACCATTATTAGCACACAGACAAATATACAGCCTAAATTTTTTTTTGGACTCACCAAACAAAAATCATTGCGCGAGACAAAGAAGCCAGATTACAATATTATTCACAACAAGGCGTTTTTAAAAGCAAAAAAAAAAAAGATTGTGTTTGAAATATTTAAAATCAACTTTGATCATGCACTGGTTAAGCACAAAAGTATTATAATTATGCCCCAAACGAGACAACTTTGAAACTATGTCTTGAAGTGGTTTCGGGTTCAGCATGGCCTTTGAGATTTGCATTTGCTGCGCTATAGCTATAATCTAGTTCACTGTTTATGATCACGGTTTTTCAGCTGTTACTTGTCGTTAGCATTCGCAATATATGTGTCATGTTAATTGTAGTTTGCATTTTTTACTAAGTTTCAATCGCATGCTACCACCTAATCAAAATATAACCAAAATGTATCAATCAATTTAAGTCGAAATAACTGGGCTTTGATTTGTGGGGTTTAACGTCCCAAAACCACTATATTATTATGAGAGACGCCGTAGTGGAGGACTCCGGAAATTTTGACCACCTGGGGTTCTTTAACGTGCACCCAAATCTGAGCACACGACGATAGTTATAGCCCGAGAACAAAACGACGACACAGAGACAAGAAGGACACGAAAGACACCCTTCTTCTTGTCTCTGTGCCGTCGTTTTGTTCTCGCGCTATAACTATCGTCATGCCATATCAACTAGCTGCCACACTTCTGAGCACACGGGCCTACGACATCGAAATAACTGGGGCCTCCGCAAAAGATATATCGACGTCCAATAAGAGACGTCAGTTTAGGTGTTAAAATTATTTCAACGTCCAAAACCCGCGTGTAGCGAGCGTGAAGAGCTGTTGGCGCTCGTCGTGTTTCGCAGACTTGGCGATTCTCTCAAAAGTGCATGCGACTGACGATTCTAAATGACGACACCGCCCGACGCGCGCGACTCGCGATGGGCCTGACGGAGCGGCCCGATTCCGAAAACGGCGATTGCTTGGCGTGCCGTCTCGTAGGCACCGGCGGACTCCTAGGTGCGTCGGCTTACGTGTGGTACCACGGTCGCCACCTGAAAGGATTCGGCAAGTTCGCCGCATACACTCTTTGCGGAGGTAAGCACCTCCCAGCCGTATCTCTACGCACACCCTTCCGTCACGTTCGCAATAACGAAACTTTCGACTATCCGAACTCGAAGGTTTAGGACGAACAAAGTAACCGTCATATCCGCATTAGATCGGCGATCGCACTGTCAAACTGTGGCAGCTACAGTCGCAATCGTTATATAAGGACTTCCTCCCAGTTACGTCACATATGCTTGTGTTACACAAAAAGTAGTACGATACGAAGGCACGTTAGCCGGACGAAAATGCATATTTTTCTTAAGACGCGCAATCAATTAAGAAGTAGTGATCGAGTCCCGTATTTGACATCGCAACCCAGTTTACCTTCAATCGGACACACGAGCATCAGCTATTCCTATGGAAGCGTTACACAATTGTTATGCCCGTGTTATTGTGTGTGTAGTGTGTTACTTACTCCATTGCCTGATTTCTACACGGTACTGTTGTCTGCAGTATTTTATAACTGTTTGCAACAGAGTAATGCATTGAGCTTTTGCCTTAATGGCTCATCATTACTTATGCATTTATTTAACTCATAGCTTAGCCTTGAGCATTGCATATGTGTTATATATTATTGCTCCTAATTAAATGCGGTGAATGCTCATGTACTCTTCTGTGATTTTGAAGTGACAGGGAGTGGATCCACAGTTTCAAGATTCGGACAAGGTGAACTTTTCTTCGGACCTTTTCCAAGCGAAAGTTCTTATTGCTTTAGTTGAGTGGCCGCCTGATGTGCTGCAACGTTTTTTCGAAGACGCAAATATTTGTGACCAGTGCTAAGCAGACCAAGTTGAAAGTGAGCGTGGTGACAAAGTGTTTGTTCTGCCCAGATGAAAACTTTTGGACTCACCTATGCTACTTTGTTACTTAATATTTTTTGTAACAAGATAGTGGAAAGAGTAGCTGTCACCAACTAATGGTGATAACAACTCCTTCATTCATTTTTTATTTCAATAAAAATAAAAACGCAGTGAAGTTGCCATGCTTAGTACTGCATAATCTGTATGCCTACATACTTCATTTAAAATTGCCTCTGGTTCCCACTGCCACAGCTGGTCGACAAACACAGTGTGTTTTCAACGAACGGCCCAACGTGGCATCCTCCTTGACTCACTTCACACACTAACTGAACAGGAATGATAATGCTAGGTTAAGAGATAAATGCTTGCTTTCCAATTACTTATCATCAGTGTTAGCACCTAATAACAGTTACAAATGCTGAACACATATATGAACAACCACCACGTAACTACTTTGAGAAATCTTGGAGGTCATGCGTAAGCTAGCCATGTTGAGCTCGTTGGGGAATGTCCACTGTTAAACTTCAAGTTGTTACTTGTAACCCTGTGCTGCCACAGACGACATGTCTTGCGAGCTGTGCATGGCCACTGTCACACTCAAACGTGCCCCAATCTGCATCTTGCTTAGGCTGTGGAGATTTCTGGCCTGAAGTGTCCATCCTTCTCATCTTTTTTCTTAATCATTCAGTGTTCGTTCCTTGCAGGTATCATTACTAGTTGAAAGTTACTATGGTTTAGGTTATGTCCGACTTGCAGGTTGAAACAGAGTACTCACGAACTGAAATGCAACATCATTGTTTTTAATTTGTTTAGTGCAATGGCTGAGGCAGTACTGGTAACTGTATCATGTCGCTGCGAACCTGCTGCTGAAGGTACTGTTGGCTGTGGTGCAAGTGTTCGAGTAAAAATTACGCCAACATGCCACAAACAGCAGATGCTGAAAACAGAAGTGTGTGCATTACTTAGCCAAAAATTTTTGCATTTCGATCCATGAGCACTGTACATTAACCTGTTCCTAAAGTACTGATGTGTACAGCTATTCTGTTTCTTTATTAAATAATGTAATTAAACCTTATTTGCCAAATGTGGAAAGAAATAAAATAATGCCTGCATGGAATGCATAGCACAAAGTGAAAGCTGGGAAAGCAGATGTTTCGTATTCAGGAACTGTGCACATCGCTGTGGTGCCTCCTATTGTTACATGCATAAAAGAAAATCCACAAGACTGAAGGTATCTTTTTTTTTTGTTGACAGGACTGGGATACCTCGGATGTGCGAGATTTGCTTCACTACCGCCGTTCCTGCCTAAGTGAAGGACCTTTTGCACCAATTAAATCAAGGTTACTATATCACACTTATTGTTTTATGTTAGCAATCACCACTTTATAAGCAACCGCATCATTCTAGCCGAGCTCAAGCAACGGCAAAGAAGATGAAGCCATGCAAATGATGATCGTACAGGCAGTCAGCATCCCAAGTTCAAGACTACAAGACACAACAAAAAGCTGAATATTGCCTCAGCTTTTATAGGCGGCTCTGAATTCAGATTCCCAACATTTTAGACAGGTGCTGTGCAGGTTGACGGAATGCAATCACAAATTGTTAAACAATCGCCCATTGCTGAGAAACAATTACAAATTGCTTAGTTTTGCCTGGCCTAGTGGTTTGTAAACTTCTGATGCCGACTGTACAAGCGATAATAATACTTACAGATGATGATAGTCACTTGTGCTATATATATATATATATATATATATATATATATATATATATATATATATATATATATATATATATATATATATATATATATATATATATATATCCACATAGGAATAAGTTATTCACATTATGGTATTGCCATTTTCTGGGCGCATTGGTAAACTGATTTTGAAAACATATTCAGCAATAGCAGACAAAGATTGTAAGAGAGACGACACCACAAATCGCATTGCGGTGTCGTCTCCCTTGCATTCTTGTCTGCCAGTGCTGAATATGTTTTCGACATTCTGGACACATAAACCGTTAGAACGACAGTTGGTGCTTTTTCCTAGCAAACTGTTGTGAACAACCAGTATGGACTTGTGTCTATGCCACATTTCCCATCAACTTACATCAGAAGCTCTCAAGAAAGTACATTTATTTGAATTATTTTTTATGCAGAATAGCTCCATTTTGCGTATTTAATTTTAAACGAACGAGCGTGTGAACATGGTAGGCTGTTTCACAGTAACCCGTAATGTGGGGAGGGGATTTTTGAAAGGCAAAAAGATCATTCACACGTCAGCAACGCCAAGCTAAAAGGGAAACTTAAACTGTTTTCTGGTGAATAAAGCTCCACATCCGAGCTGGAGATCATTCTCACATCAGAGTTCAGAAGGTTCTTCAAAAAATGTTCTCACTCGATGCGCACAGGCATGAGCAAATTAGGCACGTGGAAATAGGCGGGCTGTGACCAAGTTTGATCATTTTTGGATGGCACGGTGACAAGCGAGTGAACGGAAGTGGATGTCATACATTGTGTGCAGTGTTGTGTTGCACAAAAACAAGATGATGCCATTAATGTTTTTATGCTGCCTAAGATAGACATTGCAGGACTTTCTAATGCATTACATTGCGTGATGAGTGGTGTTGAATAAGTATCAAAGAACACTGAAAAATAAGTGGATTTGCCCTCATATTCTCTCCGCAGTAATTTTGCATGCAGTCGTACCCACTCAATCTCTTTTGCATAAACCAGGTATGTGTGAATAATTTACTTAGTAAACAATATTTCTTACGCTAACTGCTTTACCAGAATACAAAGTAATTTTCCTTTGGCGGCAAGCCTTAATGTATGCGATGTGGTCGCCTTTCGCTTCCTGTCGAAGGTCAAGTACAACTGTACGTATAGTTGAATTGATTCATCAGTGCAACAGTGCAGCCTTATCACGATAGACAGGGCATGACACGCTATCACCAGACAGCACTTCAAATAATATGCACGCGAGATAACGATAAGTGCTAGGGCAATAGCAGAGACAGCATGCATGAGCGGAGAGTATGGCGACAACGCTGCTTTGTAAAAGGCTTACTTGTCGCTGTGTTGTGTGGGCTTACTTTTGCTGGCACTGAACCTATGCGGATGAGATAGCCACCAGTGCTACAGAATTTCCAGGCATTGGAATTGAGATTAGCTTGTACTGAAAACTTCAGGCGTTACTTTTAAAATGGACTCTCTCATTTTTCATGGGGAAATCTTTAATAGTGAACAGAGAAACCTTGTCTGTACATAAAAACAAAAAAAGAACACTGCACAAACATTGATCAGTGATTACATAATTCACTGACAGGCAACACTATAAAAGCATGCCAAACTTAACGTAGGAAGGGCGCGTCTTGGCTTAGTTGGTACAGTTTCATGAAGACTGAAGGAGTGCAAATAAGCGAGGTAAAAGGTGCAATGTTGAGTTTAGTTTTTGTTCCTGTTCGCACTCATTCAATAACCGCAGATTTATTACTTTAACATACATCTACCATGTTTATCTTCAAGTAGCGATTTTTTAAAATAATTTTTCTGCCAAGTGTATGTGCTTTACAAGTGTAAAAGAAACAATGACGGCGTTCATGGTCTTCTAGATTCGGAAAGCGTACTTTGAAAATAAGATCTTTTTTTGGTGTATATATATAGAAGATGTCTCGATTGTACATAATCACAGATAGCAAAAAGTATCGTGCTGCTTGTTCACTGCCTCACTACATGGCAAAGTCACTAAACATGGTCTTAATTATTCGTCACTTCGTGCCGCAGCAGTAACTGAGCCTGCACGCATGCCCCCTTGGAACGCGGTACTAAGTTGGTTCTATAAATCAGAGTACATATGGCGACATCTTGAGTCACTGCGTTCAACCACATTGCACAAGCTTCGTTATTACATTATGGAGATATCATAACCTCATGCTAAAGGTCTTTGGCTATGTGCTGTATCTTAGTGCTATGTTGCTTTCTCTCAAAAACTGTCACTTGAGAAAACAACATTCTAGCATGTTCAGAATTCTAGACACAAAACTGTACACATTGACTAAAGCTCTTCATGTTGATGGGAAATATAAAGGTGAGAATAAGCTGCCTTTGCTTGCAACTTCACCATCGAAATTGACAGTTCTGTAACGGAAGCTGCATAACACACTCCTTAGGGTCGCAAGATGTACAATATGGTCAAACTGTGAAAGGCACCACTCAACGAAAAATGAAGTCAAAATCAATTGGGACATTCTGCGCCCTTATCGAAAAGACATAACTAAAAATGTATTTAGTAGACGAAAACTACTTTGGGCTCTTGTCATAATCGATGACTGTGTCACTAACAGACATGTACTGTGCACACAACTGCAAAAAAAGAATTACTGGAACACAGTAATTGAATATTTCTTGCAGCCTGTTCGCCACCTTGAGAGTTGAAAGTTCTGGTCACGCAGGTATCACATTTTAAAACCTTTGTGGCTCAACGTCTCAGAATGTCCCGCAGTTGTGGGTGCACGTATCATGTTAAACAAACCCGTATTATTCAAAATGAGGCAACAGCTGAAACAAAGTGATCTGTCCATCATTTACCCTGCGCAGCACACTGCACATAACATTGGCAGTGACACCTTGTAAAAAAAAAAGCCTTTGGTGTAAGACTCACACTCGCAGCCAACTTAACGAAGTTTGCTTCATGACTGAGAAAATTCGCATTAGTAATACTACAAGATAGGCAGTATCGTAGTGCTATCACTGTTCCATCTTTACCATAAATTGCTTGAATGGCAAGCCTTTCAAACATAAAAAGAAATTATCATGATACACGCAGACCCTACAACAAATGCTCTCAGAGCTTGAACATGTTGAGGCAGATTCCGAACACAACCGCCCAGATGAAGAATGCTCCGAGGATTATGCCGAACATCACAGTCTTCTCTACGGACCAAGACTCCATTTGCACCTTTACGGCACTCTTCGCCGATGCCAAGCACTCGTGACACTTCGGTCCGTTGGCAACACAGTTGCAGGGCTTTGGGTCCCACACGATGCTGTCATTGTCACGTGTGAGGCTCGCGTGCAGTTCCATGTCCTTGCAGTCGCCGCCTGCCCGCACGTCTGGGGCATGTTCCGACGGACCAGGTGCCGGGTTGTCCGCCACTTCCATCTGCGTGGGGCAAGTTCGTCTCGCGTTCAGTGGAAAGCAAAATTGAATCACTGAGTTCAGCAACTCAAAGCAATGTTAAAATGGTCAGACCGCTTCGGCCATGAGCGAAGTCTACGAGGTTGGTTCATGACCAAAAACGCATCCTGCAACAGTGCCATAAACAACTGCGCCGAATCTTGCAGTCATGTGTGCCAAGGGGAGTTTAGAAGCAGAGCACAAAATTTCAATTTTATTGTGAGCCGTCTGAATACAGAAAGCTGATCTCGGGAGTTGCCAGTGGCTGTTATTTGGCGTCAAACAGCTGATAGCATGCGGTTGGCTAATGGCAGACATAGTAAATAATAATCGTATATGGGGTTTCTGGTCCCAAAATCATGGTATGATTATGAGGGACGCCGTGGTGGAGAGCTCCAGAAACTTCGGCCATCTGCTGCTCTTTTAACGTGCACTCAAGTTGAGCAGTGCACTACCACAGCCTGGATCGAACTCTCTACCTTTCGGACAGCAGCCGAGGATTGTAGCCGCAACACACTGTGGCAGATGAGAGACCAATCAAGAGCGGCGTTCAGATCACTTGCACTTGTAACCATTGTGTGCTGCCATGTGCCAGAGCTGTGCTCTATAGTCTGCTAACATTACACAGTAGCCGCACTCGGGTGCTCAGGAATAGCAATGGGAAAGAGCAGCCACGTTTGATCATGCACACTCGGGGTCATTAAGTGCACCAACGCTACTTTCTCCCGTGTCATCCTTCTCCGTGCAGCTTCAAGCACACTAGTCAGGATGAGAGGAAATGCTTAGAGCGTGTGGCAAATCCCTGTAGCTCGTTGCTGCAATGGATTCACGAGGCAAAAGGCTCCAGTATTGAGGCCATTCAATGATTACCTTGAAGAGTACTTCAGAACTTCGACCATAATGAACACCACAGACGAAGACTCTAAGTTAGCTACGTTCGAATCTACACATTGGTGAAGGCTGCCTCCAAGTAACAAGAAAAAGCCAATTTCAGAGGCTGTGCATTTGCTGGAAGTGATTTCTGAGCTTTTAAACTGGCAGTGTGCCTAGTCTGAAATGCCATCTGTCCAGGCAACTGGGGTTCTACACCCAGCTACTAGCACATGAGGCGTTTCACCTTATTACAATACAACAGCAAGGAACTTAACCCACAATGTTGTACTCGACAGTAGAACATTGTACCCAATATGACTACTCTGGTGAGCGAAATCCAGCGCATTACAAAAGCTAAGAGTTGCAAGGAGAGAGAATGTAGCAATATTGATACATATGGTACCTTTAATGTTTTTATTACTCAAAGATGACAGTGATAAAACATCGCAGTAATAGCTTATCTCGATGCATGTCGATACTTCCAGTATACAGTAAAGGATTTCCTTTGATACAACTTCACGTACACCGGCTATTACCCTGAAGATTATGGCGAGCCTCGTATCTCTTTTTCTGAAGTACAGTTGACAAGACCAAAATGTCTAGCCACAAGATAAGTGGACTCTTTTTAAGAACTTCTGAGGTACCAGAGCAGAGGTGTGTGCTCTGAAAGACGAGCTTTCTATTAGCTTTTGTATTTTATCTACCCAGCACTGCAAAGGCAAGCTGCTTTACCTCCAAGCGCTTTCGTTTACCCTTAACTATGATTGGATTAACATGGAGATCGTTGCTAGCAAATAAGTGCGTTACTTCAAGAACGCGTCGCGCTCAGGACACCGCATTCGCGCCTTCACACACACACACACACACACACACACACACACACACACACACACACACACACACACACAAAAACGAGGCGTATCGCATCGATCCAAAGTTTCAAACAACGTTTTTGAGTATCGCACTTGCGTAAAAACTTACCGACCCGTAGGTAGTGCTAGTCGCGGAGGCTAGACCCTCGCCATCGCCTTTTCTACCGCTCTTTTTCGCGCAACACTTGCTAGTTTCGTCCATCTCTCCACAATGCGTCGTCGACCTAAACACCCCACTCGGCCACTCCTCGCACGTCTTTCGGCTTTTTATCTCTTTCTTTGGCCGCGTTTATCGGCGAAGAAGGAAGCGGAACGGACGTATACTACTACGCATCGGCTCGTCGCGCAAGTATCAAAACCCTGCACGCACACGACACACGCGCACCACTCCCAAGTGATGTGCTGCGCACATACTGTGAAAGACACGTATTCTCGCTTAAACAGGCCAGCAAACTGCAGCGGAAAGTGTACAAAAGCACAGCTGCGAATTGTTCGCGCTCTAGTCGCCACAGCTGAAGAATTGAGGGACCCGGCGTTTCGGGGGCTGCGCGATCACAGGAGAGTTTGCCTCCCTTCGCCGCATTGTGTTCCAGCGATTGGCGATGCTCTGTCACTACCGCTTTCTCTTGTCCACTGTGCCGACAGCTGTGACAGGGAAACAAAACCGAAGTCGCCCTTCTGACAGGGTTCGAAGTTATTTGCGCGAAGGGCACAAGCGGGTCGGGGAAAAGGGTACGTCTGTTCATGCATTGGGGCGACCGAAACTGTCGCGAACAGCCGTCTTTCTTTCGCCAGGCTAGAGTAGTCTTTCGACGTCGCTTCTCGCAGAACTTTTGATTCTACGTCTATTCTGCAACCGCAGCCGATGCGCGCGGTTCAATTCGTAGTACGACGCGGCTCTATGGAGTAACCAAAACACGTGTTATTACGCACTTTCCTGACCGAGAGGTATACTTGCCGGTTTTTTGCATGCACCGTCGGTCGTCGTATCGTATCATACTCACGTAAATGGTCGTCGATCTTCCGAATATGTTTCGCCACATCTTTGTCTTCTCTAAATCGACTCGCCGGCCGGTACGTAGCAGCTGTGTAGTCTTTCGCACGCTCGCCGTTGTCCTGTTGGGTCTGGCTGCGCAAAGGTCGTCTCGGCCGGCGCCGTTCTAAATCCAAAGAGCCGGCGAGGGCTGTAGCTTGATTGACCTCATAAAACGATGTCAAATAGAACGTCCGCAGGAAAGGATTAGCGTTGTTGAGGATCAAGACGCGGCACTCTCTGTCGCAGCTGGCCGAAACACCGGAAAGCCCGCCGGAGGGGGATCATAAATCGATAAATATCACACACTGTGGCCAGGACGGCGCGCCGGGTGGTGCACCCCTCGGGTTTCTCCAGCCGTGTTTCATCGAACGTGGCGCGCGTTTAAACCGGCAAGTTGTTTTTCTAGATCGCCATCTCGCAAAAAAACAAGTTGCCACGCCTGCTGTAGCCTCTAGATACCCGAAACAGGCAAGGGAACAGGCGCGACGACTCTCGAGAACACAGCTGGCCAAAAGGTCTCACCTTGAAGGGTCTCCGCTCTCAAATGACGTCTTTAGGTGGAGGAGGGATTCATTAAGCACGACGCGCGAATGGGTGCCGTTTTAAATTAGTAGCGTCTCTATGCGTGCGTTGTTTGCAGCGTGTGTCACGTGGTATCTCATTTGTTTCATTCATTCAGATTAAGCGGCCTCGGAATACGTGGCTCAAGATTCTGGGAACCGCATCGTGGCCATGAAGTTGCCGAACAGTTTCGTGTACGGAGACGCCGATTTCGTACACGGTGTGGCACCGGGCGGCGAGGGAAGGCCGACCCGATTTGATCAGCTGTTGCAGTCCAAATGGGACGAGGCAATGACCAGCGGTCACTTCTGGTACAAACTGGACAAACTGGACACGCGAATACTGCCCGGAAAATACGGATTCGTGGCGCAGGTAATGAATAGCTGTTCAGCACCGCTGTCCGCGATTAAACCCGACTGGGATCGAATTCCACGAACGTGACTGGTCGGCTTCCTTTTGCAGCTCGAGTAAAACAGCCACTCGCGTTCGTGCGATACGATTCCGATCACGGGCGAATGTGATAAAAAATGACCGCCAAACGCGGTACAAATATTGTATTCTAGTGTGGTGAGCTAGCGGTTTTCTTACATTTCTCGCGAAACTCGTATTTCCCAAGAATATGCACGAATCAAATCAGTTATCAAAAGAAGCGTATGCCCAAAGTTACATTTTTTTCTTCATTAACTTGCCTGTTAGTCCTGTAATGATTACACCAGAAAATGGATTCCAATGCCTTCAGGCGTTCGGCTATATCGATGTATTGTCCGTAGGTGAAGTCACCATCAACTTCAGTTTATCACATTATGAGTGTCCAAGTGCCAGTGAGGTCAATAGAAGACAAGCATTGAAAGAACTGGAGAAAATGTGCGACCCAAGCTGCACACGATGCGAGTTACTAACACAGAAGTGGCTGAGAGAGACGTCATGTTGGTACTTTCCCACCATTACTAACATTACCAGCAGCTCCCAACATGAGCACAAACGTGTCATCCAAAACTGTGGCTACAGTCGAATCCCTGCCCCTGCGTAGCACATCATGAGGCACAACCAAGTGTTCCACCCAGTCAATCATGCATGAATCGATTCCCTCATTGGGGACACTAAGCAAGCCTGTCAGCAGAGCGCCCTAGCCCTCACAACTGCCATGTAGGGACACTACCTTACCGACTGACCCCGACACTGTTATCTAGCAGGGCACTAAGTAAGCCTGTCAGCAGAGCGTTTGTCAAGGGAGCCCTAAAAAAACTGCCATGTAGGGACACCGGCTTACCGAATGATTCCGACACAGTTACCTGGCGGGACACGTGGTGCTGTCAGATTCCTATACGTATGCCTGGCGCAACCTAGCTGCAGACCTATATCTGAAAGTCGTGGGGTTGAATCCCAGCCATGGCTGCCTGCATTTTTGATGCTGCAAAGTGCTGATGGCCCCGTGTGCTTACATTTAGCGGCACGCTAAAGAATATCAGGTGGTCGAAACTCTCGCAGCCCTCTAAGGTGTTTCCCATGACCATATCGTAATTTCGGGATGCAAAACCCCAACCATTATTTATTACCTAGCTTTCTCTGTAATATGTCTACATCTGCCCCTCTCGCTATCCCAGCACATGTGAACACTACAGCACGCCTAACCTGACCAACATCCTGTGAGTGTGCCCAAACCCTTGATTTGATTAAATAATATACTTGCCATGGAGCAGCAGGAGATTGCGACACAAAATGCAGCTCCAGCTCCTCCGTCAAAGTTTCAGCAGCGGCCCGGCCGGCAGTTGCTGGTGCGGTCGAAGGGCTTTCGGTTGTCTGAGCCAACATACTTCCCTGTTTGATTTCAATAAATGCTTTTTGTCAATCAATCAATCAATCATCGCCACACCTGCCAATGCAGTGAATGCTGCAGTCATTGTCTGCACAACGCCTGCATCAAGTAAAATGTACAGCAACCTACAGTAGGTGTCCTTTGCAACTGGAAAAAAAAATAATAATGGCACTCTAAGGTTTAAGCAGATGAAGGTGTAACTACAACATCGGCGAGCATTTTTATTAGGGAGTTTTCAACACTATCCATTGCAGTCACTGCCACTGCGCATGTGTCATAACGCTAACCGCCATTAGCCTTTGCGGTCCACCCGCAAAAAATTTTAAATAGCGTACAGCCCGCAAGGCCCACAAAGCCCCTTCGGTAACACAATCGTGCGTCAGCGTTTGCAGGGGACAAATGCTATTCGAAAACTCACATGGCACCCATATGCGCAAGCTACGCTCGCCAACTTAGCGTATGCTATCCAAAAACTCCCTATTGTATACCGAAGTTCGTTATCCTCGTTATGTAGTGTGCAGTGTTTTTTTTAATAAGCCATAAACCAATAATTGATGCTTTCTCAATCCTGCGCTTGTCATCGATCAGGCATTTCTGATATGGCAATCTGATCTTTTATGGAGCTGACTTGTCGATGCACGTTGCCACATTTGGTTGCTGCTTGGTTGTGAACGCGTGACCACCATTACCTGTAGCAACTGAAGTATTGTGCTGGGCGCTAAGCATGTGAGCGTAGGTCATGGTGCAAGAATACTTTAGGTGAGTGAACGCGTGAAGCGAGCGCTTGGCGGGGAGGGACCGGTTATGTTCTCATTTACAGCATGCCAATAGATGGTTTGCCGGACTGAGGACCGTGGCGGGCTGCTGTAAAATTCCGCAAAGCACATCCGACACATGGGCGACGGTTTCCAAATCTGAGAAAACCGGGTTATTGTGCAATAGCAACCACGTGAACAGTGCAGCGACGGCGGTGTGGTGATGAGAAATGAGCGCCGCTACTTTCCTAGTACGGGCTTTCCTACACTGAGAGGGAGGAGAAGAGCCAAGGCAAAGTTTGTAGCGCCATCTCTCGGACTACTTGCGAAGCAGAACACCGGATAATCCCGGCGTTCGCTCACCCAAAGTATTCTTGCACCGTGGCATAGGTATAATTCTCTGCATGAGATGAGGGAATGGGAGAGAGCATTTGGCAATTAAATAGAAAGAATAAAAGAAAATCAGTACATCCAAGGCAAAGGATCGTGAAATTTTCACTGCAATACTGACCGCCGCATTTTTTGCATCCTCTTCAGACAATGCCGTTCCTACGATGTTGAAATTGATAATGAAGTGGCAGGAACTGTAGAACCGGGTCGAGAAATTCAATGTCGACCGAATGTACAGTGCTCACGAATCGAAATGCGGCATTGAAAGTTTGGGTTAAACAACTGGCACATGCAACTGCTCAAGGTAGCCCTGTCACATTGCTACAACCTGGGGTCACTAAAGGGAACATCAGCTCGGATACGAGTGTACGAGCCAATATTACACTCATTAAACATGCACTATAGATGGCGGAAATGAAAGTACACCCCCAAAAATAGAAAGAATAAAAGAAAATAAGTACATCCAAGGCAAAGGATCGTGAAATTTTCACTGCAATACTGACCGCCGCATTTTTTGCATCCTCTTCAGACAATGCCGTTCCTACGATGTTGAAATTGATAATGAAGTGGCAGGAACTGTAGAACCGGGTCGAGAAATTCAATGTCGACCGAATGTACAGTGCTCACGAATCGAAATGCGGCATTGAAAGTTTGGGTTAAACAACTGGCACATGCAACTGCTCAAGGTAGCCCTGTCACATTGCTACAACCTGGGGTCACTAAAGGGAACATCAGCTCGGATACGAGTGTACGAGCCAATATTACACTCATTAAACATGCACTATAGATGGCGGAAATGAAAGTACACCCAACAACAAAAGTTTGCGGGACACAATATTTGAGAACGCTGCTGTATTTCTCGAGTTGCCTAGGATATTAACTTCCAAGTTCACGTTCTAGCCAGTAGTTGGCATAGTATCCCACAGAGTAAACAGCTGAACTAGAAGCATTATGCTCTAATGGATCCATCGTGAACTTATTTACAGCGCAACACCAGAAAACACAGGCAGGGAAGTAAATAAGCACTGTAAATAAGTTCACGATGGATCCTAACCAACTGGCCCAACTTACCATCTTACTGCTCTAATGAAGAAGAAGTATGCCTCAGTAGTGAAGCCAACGTCCCGTGAATTTTCGTTGTTCAGTGTATATGCGTTGCATAGCATGAGATCGGGTCACTTTATTGAAAGAGCACCGCGGCTTTAACAAAGAACGGTCTAGGAAAGAGAGACAGAAGCCATTATTTCAGTCCTTCAGACCCACAAAATACACTTGCCTGTACGAACTTTCCTCAACAGCTCAACATGAAGAGAGCCAATGAAAGGAGGAAGCCTCAGCACGTCACTTCCGTCTGCATGCCTTTTGACGGCAGCATCTTCAACTTCACTAAGCTCAAGGAGGGGGAGGTAAGTTTCTGCCCTTCTCGTCTTGTGAGAGACGCGTGTGGTTGGATAAAACAAGTGAAACTCATTCAGACTTGCTGGCCAAACATATCTTCAGGACAAGACAGAATTACATGCGCTCAAATAAATTGTGGAGGAAGCCCTGCCAAGCTCACTCAACTGCAGGTTCACTAAAGCCGGATTGAGACAGGCTTAGAATTGAAAGGTTCATGAGATCTTGTTTGCTCATGCAGTCATATTCACAGGCTGAACAATTGATGCTCGTGTCATAGAATGAATGAATAAATGTACTCAGATTCTCTGAGGATTCCACTAACTATGCTTTGTGATAGTTTTCTGTGTTAAAACAAGACATGTAGGTTATGCAAACATGATAACTTGCTTAAGTAGCACGTCCCTATATTCACTGGCATTTACACACTAGTGTAATACAAACAGTTTCGATCAAGCCTTGATCAGTATAAAATTTCTTGACTACAGTTGGCTTTCTTCCATACCTCTGATGAATAAACCAGTCTTGATCAAGGTCAAGCACAATTGGAATTGCGCTGTAGAATACCTATATCAGACTGTCAGTGAGCTTGGGCAAATCGACTCAATAGTTCACCTATAGTATTTACTCAAGAGTACCGAATAATAAGTAAAAAAAAAGTTTTTTTTTTCTTTTGCTTCTATCAGATGCTCTTTTCCCTGAAGAATGCCAACAAAGTGGACAACAGTGAGAAAGAAGTAAGCACTGGAATTGGCAGTTTCCATTAGGCACTAGTTTACAAACACTTTCATCGTTTCTTGTCATCCATAGGCCTTGTCTTACAGGCGGAACATTGGGTTGTGATCAACGTCAGCCCGGTGGAGTACTGCAACTCTCTGCTAGTTCCCAGGCTGTACAGCTGTTTACCGCAGGTATGCGAGAGTGCCGGTGAATTGGTTCAGTATTCAAACCCTGACACATTACCCCAATTCTGGTCTGTAGTCCGTGCACAATTTAAAGTTGACTGCAGTTAATATGGGCTAAACATAAAGTTGTTCCTTGAATAGTATACTTCGATAAATTTTGGCAAAATATTGACTTTCCTTGTGTGTACAGTCAGTCTACAGTCTATTCCATTGTACAAATAATTGGTGTAGAACAATCGAAAAGCAGTTTGGCCCATAATTTTCTTTATTTAAAGCATACCTCTCAAGTTTCAGAAGTTAATGAACATGTAGTCTATACCTGGAAACATTCCACACCAATGCAAATTTCAGCCCCTACTTAAAAAATATAACACCGTCCCGATGGCCCTTGGCTTTTGTGAAATTTCTACACCTCAACTTGTGCTCTAAGAAACATGTGTGCTTTCACAAGAGCTCCCCACATGTATTTTGCACACGTCTGTGCTTTTTATATTCCGCGTATATTTTGTTGAACTGACGTTTGACCAAGATGCCTTCTTAAACTCACTTCTTTCCTCAACAGGTACTGACACCAGAGTCGGTCCATTTGGCAATCGACACCGTGCTACTAAGCAGCAGTCCGTAAGTACTGAACGCAGCTGTCGTGGTGGTGAAGCCAGACATCGTACAAATGCACTTAATTATTTTTTCAGTTTAAACAAACAAGGACCATGTATTCATTTCCGATGTGCCAAAGTAAACAGGTTTATACAAAAAGAAGTTTGAGTATTTGTGATTGGGATAAGAGAATGATAGAAAACTAACAGATAATTTGCGATGACAGTTGTGTGAGTAGGGATGAAGTTCTTGGAAAATGCATTATGTATTAGAAGCACATGACTACGTTCCTGATGCAATCAAAGGTTTGTAACTGCCAGCATTAATTAACTAATAAAATCAACATTAGCGTTAACCTGTTAACATCAGTTAACATGGATGGCAGTTCATAATGCCATCTTGCACTTGCCAACATTAGGTAAGCATTAATATCAACATTAATAACAATGTTGAAAACGCCTCAAATAACACACTTCGTCTTAATGTGCTTTATACAAGAAGAGATGTATAACTTAAGATAATCGATTCTGCTATATTGAACTATTGCAGCGTTTGTGCAGGCTACGTTTGCAATAAATAGTTTGCTGATGGCAGTAAAAGAAACTTGTTAGAAAGGCAAGGGATTGCTCGTGACTATGTGAAACTGTCGTTGCTTTTCCAGAAATTTCCGTCTCGGCTTCAACAGCCTCGGCGGCCATGCCTCGGTGAATCACCACCATTTCCACTTGTATTACCTGCAGCACAGGCTTTACATCGAAACAGCTGTAAGTTGCATTGCAATATGTAAGTACAGTTCAGCATTACAACAATATGTTTAGAATATAACGTGAGAATACAGCCGTTTATGAAGTATATGTACCATGATTAGCAATGAAAGACATAGTATTATAATGTGTATGTTGGCTGTTGTAAAAATTATATATTATGTAACAATGTACTACAGGTAAACCTCATGATAACAGACGCACTGCGGGCAGCTGTTGTCCCTTATACAAGGTGTATATTATTAGCAACGTACTATGTTGTCATTTTTATCAACTTCTATTTAGATGCAGGCATACTGGTGTCTTTTATACCCAGGTTTTTCTTGCATCACTGTCTCTTATATAGAGTGTTTCAACTGTACTGCCATAAAAATGCAGATGCCAACATCAGCATGTGTGCAAAAAATTATGTTGGTGTGCCTTTGCTGCAGTTATGATAATAGTAATAGTTATATATAATGACTTACGAATGACATCATCGAAGCAAGTTTACAGTTCCCACGGGCTGAAACACAATAATTTATGGCTAAGTAATGCGCATACTTTGGTTTTTACAATTTTTAATCTTTGTTGTATCATCATGATTTCGACTCGAACACTTGCATCAGACGCTACACCGCCTTTATGACCATACTTGTAGCGACATGATGCAGTTTGTATTTGAGGACTCTGCACATACCAATCGTTTTATTAAATTTTTCACTGTTGTGTTTCAATCTGCGAGCACCGTAAAAGGCCTACATAGGCAGGTGCGCAAAAATGTTGTGATGTATCTTTGTTAGTCTTTTCGTGTACCTGGAGTTTGTTTTTTTTAATTTGAAAATTGACTTTTTGCCCCTGCAACGAAACAACTATTCACGACGCTTCCACCTCTGTTGTCTTGGGTCTCGCATTTCCAGTGTCGCTGTAGCAGCAGACTGATCCCTATTAAAGAAACTCGCAGAATCCCTTGAGCATTCGCCTAAGATGACTCGAAGGTGTAATTCATCTGGTGAGGCTACTTCACCATCTCACCAGTGCTTTTGCTCGTCTTTAGTCGCGAAAACAGTGCAAGGACGAAATGACTGCAGTGCCGACACATTTTGGTCCACGAAGCGTGTGGGTGGTCAAATCGCGTTTTGTACCATACGCCGATCTTTCACCAGGATACCTCTCCCATGAGCCATTTAGGGCTTTTGCCTCAAAAAGCATGGTCAGCCTAATCGTACAGTTGTGTCATCGTATTCAATTTGACCGTAATAGTGCACAGCTGCTTACGGTACAACCCTTTCCACGCAGAGGGTCAACCACCTATGGAGCGAGTGCTACGAGATCGTGGACTATCCTGCCAAAGGATTTGCATTTCAAGTCACCAAAGACAACAAGGAAGCTGTTGTTCGGTGGGTTCATTGGGTTGCTAAAGCTATATTTGTACCTGCATAAATTCACTCAAAACCTAAAAAAAAGACCCCCCCGGATATAACAAAATATCGTTTTCAACGAAATAAATCGAAAACAGTCTTGCAATAGATATAGTGTTAGGAATATACCTTTATAATGAATTTTAACACGCTTATTTTTGTGTGTGATGCAACTTCGTTGCAAAAATCACCAACTATCACAAAAGTACAACTGCACGTCTTTGTTTCATTTTCTTTGAATATGTTTCAGGGATGTTATGGTACTCGTCCAAATGCTACTGAAAACATCCACAGCACACAACCTGTTTGTTACGAGGGGCACAAGTTTCGACTCGGACGACGCTGAAAAATCAGTGGTTCGAGTCTTCCTGTGGGCAAGGAAATCTTGCTATGGTGAGATTGCTCTCCTGTCTTGAACATGAATCTGTAGTGAACATCGCATGCTACACATTTCAGGTGCAAAAGATGAGTCTGCATTCAACGTTGCTCTCTGTGAGTTGTCAGGGCATCTAATAATGAAAAGTAAGTTCTTTTTTTTTGTTGTTTCTGTCTTGCATCTTTACTCGGCTACAATTTAAACAAATGTGAGCTCCGCTCAATAACGTGGCACATCTGCTCTTCAACTGTGAAAGACAGTCATGCTAGCTACTCTAACCCCGGTATTCACGAACGCTCCTCGACTCGACTTCCACCCTTCACTTGACAAAGTTGAGCACTGCACCACCGCTCGGCTGAAAAGGACGCTGGGCTACTTAAGAATCGTGGCTGATTATCGCTGATATGCAGTGACTAGCCGTGCCTAGAGACGGTGCTTCTATCGGCTTTTTCAAGTGAAGGTGAAGTGTTGAGTGAAGGGACGTTCTAGAATACGGGGGTAAGTAATTTTACTCGACTAATGCAAGTATTATGCATATTCAGAATGAAAGGTTCGTCGTTACTACCCTAAGGTTATGCTTGGCTGAGTAGTGATGTCAGATGAAATTCGCCTGGGCATTCAAGTTTCTGATGTAAAACTATAGACACAAACATGTGTCTGTATGGGCGAGTCAACTGTCAAGAAGTGCTTTACATCAAGGCCTTGTGCTAATTTTCTGTCGGAGAGATGATGATGGTTGTGGACAGAGCTGGTATTTCTTTCTTGGGTTTTAATAGAGTATATTGCCCGAGCAAAAGCACTTTGGATCAACTGTATCCTTTCTTTTGGTGCACACTAGATGAGGAAGGATACATGTCTGCAACTGAAGACTCCGTAGCACAACTACTCCGCGAATTTTGCGACGACACCTTCGCAGAGGTGCACTCCCAAGTGGTGGCGCTAAAGAAGGACTGCCGAAGCTGATGACCCTGCGAACTAGTCGATAGAATTTTCCGTTTCGTCCATGAGGGCACGCTGTCCATTAACGGTTTAATAAAGGCATTTTGTTTCTACAAATGATCGCAGAGTCTCTGTTTGTTAACCCTGTGCGGTCGGAAATCTTCACCAGCTTTCCATTCATTTTAGTCTGGAACTAAACAAAAGGGAGGGAGGAAGCTCAAGCAAAAAAAGTCTACTTACTCTTTTAAAAGATGGGACATAATTTGGTGAGAAAATGCGAGCACAAATCAACCATGACACACTTACAGATAAGGCGATAGCTACCATCACGGACAAAGGAACTGTGCATTGGGAACTTGGCTCATCGAAGCACACATCCGCTCGTCAGCACTATTGTAGTTAGGTCCCCTACTCTGCACAGTAGCCATCTCCATGCTAGTAGTATGGCACAATGTTGTGGAATCTGATAACGAAAGCATGCGAACAATGAGCACAAGGTGATATCACAGACGTACGGAAGGAGGTCTTGCCTGCGGAGTTATCGTGGAGATTTCTAGCTGATGTTGCTGCAATAGCTAAGCGAGATCTAAACCAACAACTTTCAAATTCAAAGGTTGTGGGTTTAGATTCCACCCACAGAAAGGGTAATTTTTGTTTCCACTTCTATTCATCAAAATTTGTAATAATTACTGCATTAATTAGTTAAAAGACAATGGCTTATGTTCCCTGAGCTTTCCTTGGTCTAATCTTCTGTTGCATTCATGTGACCAAATACTTTGTCATAAAATCTAAAGAAAGGTGTGTTCCACCAGCCATCTAGATAAAGGGATGAAACACTGTTCTTTAGCTTTCCAGTCGTCATCCGTGCAACATAAGGAAATACCTTTTCTTGCTGATTAGCTGACATGAGCCATAACCTTCGCTACGGTGCACGTAACTCGCATGCAAAATAGTAGAGGTAATCAGCTATATAGTATGAAATGTGAGAAAAAAGACTATTTACTGGTATGTACAAAGATTAAAAGACGAGACGTTCTTGTAGTGATGGGCGCAGCAACAAGACCTCAGCGGTTCTTCAGAGAGCTGGTTTGAAAACTCGGTACATAGTCCATCACAAAGGTCCTGCGCAGAGTGAAAACATGCAAGGATTACTCTTTTTAGTTACTCTTTAAAGAAAATTTAATTGCAGAGTTTTTATGTGTTTGATTAGTGAAACCCGATTATACGACTTTCAGGGGACCACACAAAACCGTCGTATAAACCGGGCGTCGTATAATCGAAAAACTAAGAATACAGCAATGACACTCAGCCTTGTCCCAAAAAATGGGTATAGACCGCCTGAATAAGTTCACAGCACGATCTTGTGCCTCTGCTAGAAAGGTAGATTAAATTACTCTTGCCAGCGACAGCTAACGGCAGCTGACAACTAACGGCAGCAGTTGAAAGAGGTGCAAGCGAGTCTCTATATTCAAGTTTAAAAATAATTGAATCCAACGCGCATCTTTCTACCGATGAATAAAGACGGAAAAATTGCCTGCGCGTGACAACGAAACCGAAACCGTGTTGCCAATAGCCTCCCTTCAGAAGAGTCGGACACAGTGGGGCTCTTCAATTTTAAGGCCTCTGGCAGCTCTCTCAAGCGAAGGCGCAGTCCTAAAGCGCCCACATTGCAATCTGTCGAGTCCTCACAAAGATGGCGCCGAGCGCGTATCGTACCTTTTCGGCTAGCCCGAAACCTCCCCAACACCTTCCAGAGAGCCTTTGCGAGTCGCTATAACATAACGGCGACTGACCACAAGTGCGCGTAAAATGCACGGAGGAAGGAAAAAAGCTTTCCTTCCTCCGTGGTAAAATGCCTTCGCTTGCGACTTGTAATTTGTGGCCTTGTGAAGTGCAACTAGTGATGTCCCTCTGTTGGTATGAACGTCGACGTCAAGTGAAAGTGATCTTTTACAGTGGAAACAGCTGGGTCGCGCCCTTATGCGTCCGCAAGCCTGCGACCGCGACAAAGGCTGGTCGCAAGCCTGCGACCGCGACAAGGTCAGCTGTGTGTCGACCAGAAAATGTTTCCATGGACCGAAAACGTGAATATGTCAGCTTTTGGGCCGGCTGGAGCTACTTTGTGTGGACAGAGCTTGACTAGGTAACGACCCCAGATACGTGCACACGCGATTGCTGCGTGTGTAGAAGCGCGTGAACTTCCAGGAGAATAAACTTTCCATTCTAAGAAGACATCTGTCTCGCTCTCTACTTTTCTAATCGTCAACCTAGGGGAACGAAAGTTTATATTTTGAACTTTCGAATATTTGGTCCACGCTTGATCCTAGTAAAGGCGTTCTTTTTTCTTTTGAACCAAATCTGAACGTTGTCGTAAGATGCGGGGTCAGCGTAAAACTGCGTCGCATAACCAAGGTTTTAATACATTATTCCTATGGGGATATTGCCGGAACCTAACAGATTCGTCGTAAAATGCGGGTCGTCGCGAAACCAGGGGGACGTATAATCGAAGTTCCACTGTATTTCTCTCGTAATAAATGATGATCTATTATATTTAGATTGCAGCCCTGGATAGTGTTTTGGTTTTATTTATAGAATATTTATTGGTTGCACAGGATTGGTTCAAACGCGTGTGTGTACTACTGACGGTCAGACCTAAGAACAGCAACTGGAAAATGCAGTGCTGTCAATCATTTTGTTATCTGCTATGCAAAGAACACACTGAAAAATCGTTTCGTACATTCGAGAAGATATAATAGTGGTCTCCAAGTTACTTGGATTGAATCGAAATGTAAGTGCTTGGGCCAGAGAAATGACTTAGCCTTGTTATGCATTTGGCTTAATCCAATCCGGAGCCAACAGTCCGAGTAAATGACCACCAGTGCCACCAGCAACTGTCTTGTGAAACTGCAATGCCACCTAGTGCCTGATCAAGACATTAGTACAAATGAATCGTCGAGCTCCTCAGTTTCACAGTTTCAAAAACAATGCCCGAAATATGAACATTCACTTATAATAATTCCTACCTTTATGGGTTGTAAACATTTCTGAATTCAAGACAATTAGAACACATTCTTGTGGGGCACTGGTCCCTTTGCCTATTCGCTGTTTGTTCCCTTTCATTCTCCCGTGACATTCAGTTCCCCTCTTGTCATAGTGTGCCTGCACGCGAGATCCTCCCTCAAGGGCGTATCTGAGAATGACAAAAGTTGCCATGGCAACTGCACCTTGCTCGGTCCTGCCATTTCGGACGCCTCCCACCTTGGGCTGTACGGGTAGTCAGTGCAGGTGATGCTGTAGGGCCATCCACAGCTGGTGTGGTACGCCGACTGGAACGTCAGAGATGGCTTGTCTTGTGGGAACGTCCGTGGGATGGCAACTGCACGAAAGATGGTACATCACGGCACTGGCGGTAGCGCAAAGGTAGTCGAAAAAGAGTCGTAGCGATCGTAAGATCGCAGTTTCTCTGAATTAAGGCCTCCCAGCAATTCATGCAACACAAAACAAGATCTCATTTGTAGTGAGCTCGAGTGATGGAAATTCCTTCACTTTAGTCAGAATTTATTATGTGTAAGCATACGACTGTTAAACGACAATATGGGTGAGAAACAAGTTATCAGGAATGCTGAATTATTGATAGCAACGACTGCTGGTGTTAAAGAGTGAACACTACGATGCGATTACAAGGCAGGCAGACCTGTAGCCAAAAAGGTTGTCTCCTCCCAACCCCCGAAATTTCGATGGAGGGGATGTCTCACAGAAAATAAGTAACGAAAATGAATGTTTTTCTAAAGTAGCAAAGGTCTTCAGAAAGCTGGCCCTGCTGCCCCCAAAAAATTCCCGGCTACAGGCCTGAAGGTAGGCTATAGTGGGAGACTGATTTCACTGCGCATTTAAGACACTGTTCCACAGCATGTGCATTAATGCGGTAGGAAAGATGAAATACTGATGAATGTTACAAGATGAAGGATGCCATGGCGATGCTGCCGAAAAGGCATTGCTGGGATAGCCGGTGCCCTACGATAAATCTAATGTAGCCATTGTGCGCTACTTGGACAACTAGGTACTAATAAAGATTTGGTGTGAACTTTCTTTCATCAGAATGTACTCACTGATTAGGATGAAAAAGAAGTCGTCGTGTTCGAAGAGGAATGACAAACTCGCGAATCCCTCGGCATCAAACTCCAAAAGGTTCCTGCAACGTGAACAAAGTACAGTGCAGTTTCAAGACGAGTCAAACAAAATGGCAAATTAACTACTGGAAGACTAAATGGTAAAAGCAATTTGTAAAAGTCAATGCTAAAGCGTAAATTGTGGTATGAAATTTCATCATTTACTTACATGACATGCTACTAACTCTAGTGATTAGGGTTCAGAGCAATAGAGATTAGGTCTACATTCAAAAGGCAACAAAATGAAACACATGCGATGAACTATAAGAACAAGCTTGTGTTTGAACACAACGGTGAACATTAAAGAAAGTTAGTGAAGTTTGCTGGAATCGGATTTAAGTAGTTTCTACTCAACCACAAAGGCATAACAGATTACTTCAGTCTATAATAAATGTACTTGTTGCAAGCATTACCGCAAGAAAAAATTCACGATGACACTTTCATCCGTGCATACGATCGCCTGTACTAGAAAGTTTCAAGGGGTTACGACAGAAACTTCCTAGTGATACTTTAAAGATGGGTGAATGGCAAACTTGAGGTTCAAAATAAACAGTGATTTCTGCGAATGCTAAATCAAATAGTTCCAAATGTTATGTCACGCATTATAAAAAAATTATTATTTTTGTCATGACTTAACTTACTTGCACAGTACTTTTGAGTATGGGAATTAGGCATGTGTGAATGTCACTTTTATGGCTCGGACTGGAGTGAAGCAACGTGAGTAATAGTAAGGCTTGAATAGCAGCCGGGTGTAAGTCACATGTGGTATAACAAACATGTTACGATTAGAAATTTACTAAGTGCATATAAGCCTGTATAACAAGCTTCTAAACTTAAAAGGTAATTATTATTCAAGAAGAAGCTCATACGCAAATTTAATCGTGAAGCGTGGCTTCGCTTTAGTGTGGATTCTCTCTGGGTAGGTGGTACTACGACACAGTGCTTTCATGCTGCAGCGAAACCACCTTTACATAAAGGTTACATGTGGTCGAATACACGCGTCAATGAATTTCAAATAATTTGAATTCAAATCGAAGTGAATTCGAATACCGTGACATTCATCTTGAACATTTGAACCACTCAAGGACTCGTCCATGTCTTGACATTTACAATACTGAACCAATCCTGTGACTGAGTAGAGCAACAGTTTGGTTGCAACTTCAACATGGCAGTCGTACCTGCCAAAGAGGTTGAGGAAAGCGGCCACGTACTCCTTGCGCTTGGCAAACGACGTTGACACTTGTTCAACCTGGTGGAAGAAAGGAAGGCACACGGAGAATGCAACCCAGAGACTGTGTCAGTCATGCAGGGAGGCGTTGCGGAGTACGATAGGTGGTTGGAAATACTAACTGTATTCGCAGGTCGAACGCGAACGAGCTGAAAGAACATGACAAGGAACCGGGAAATTCCACAAGCAACTCGGTGAAAACCCACTTACCATAAGCGAGACAGGCAACACTGCTCATCAAAGAGCATGTATTTGTCACTTTTCTGTGAGCGAAGCCCATCGGTAAAGTTTTTCGAGGCACACCAAAGAATGAAAAAGTGTTCTCTGAGAACTCTTGTGTCGCTAATTTATTTAAGTTTATTAATAAAGAATGAAACCGAGGTCCAACCTGCATTTTAAAATTTTGCAACAGAATCTCCACATGTGAGGTCGCGAATATCAAACTGTTTTATTCATATTTTGGCAACACTGGTTCCAAGGAATTTCTTATAACTTGGTCTGTTAAATCTACAGCAGCCTCAGAGGTCAGTGTACCTTGTTTTGACCAATCAGGAGCTATGTAGGCACCAGCAGACATCGACGAAATCTGTCGTCACAGCTGCCACCCACATTTTCTTTTTGTGCAGTTTCTCGCTTACCAAGAGTCTTCTGGCGGCAAGTGTGGCGATTTCGGAATTGTGAAAGAGTACATTACTAATGCCAACATAAAAATCGTTTTTACCCTTAGGGTTACCTTAATTAACAATGCCAGGAACCCACTGTCACCTTCTTTTCGAGAAGCTCCTTGACCTGTGGCACGTAATCCATGAGGCAGCTGTCCTTGTTGAAGCTTGGTAGCTTAACAGCCAGTGATCCCCCTAGTGCCCTGTCATCAAAAATTTAAGAAAGCAAAAAAAAAAAAACAGTAGCCACGCATTAAAAAAAAAATATGCCCATTTGCTATCATTGTTCGACTCCTGCTCAACAAATGAAGGGAGAGTTTCGCAACCAGTAGTTCATTTATTTCATTACCCGTGGTGTCAACAGGCACCACAACATGGAAGGGTATGCAAAAAAAAAAAAAAAAAGACCACGAAGATGACACAGCGTCAGCCACCAACTATAAATCATAAGTTGCGATTGGTCGTGCAAGTACGCTTATTACTAAAAAAAATTAAGCATTGTAATTATAGCTTAAAGAAGAAAACATAATCAGGCATAATAGACAGTTTTTAGATGTACCGCGTTGAAAATTGGTGTTTTGCTGGCCACCTTGCAAATAAAACGATCTCAAGCCACGTATTTTGCAACAAAATATTACAGTATTATTGCACGCTTTATCCGCGTTACATAATCTGCCTAAAACTTGTAGACCAAAAAACGTCATTGAAGTCAACTTTCTGACAATTTAATAATAATTACAAAAATAAAAACATCTTGGGTTTTGTGTACCAAAGCATGGTTGTGAGGCACCCCTCATTGGAGGGCTCCGGAAATTTTCATCACCTGGGGTTTTTCAACTTGCATTAAAATAGCACAGTGAACGACCCATAGCATTTCGTCACCATCGAAATGTGACCGGCCCGGCCGGGATCGAACTTGCGACCACCAGGTCAGCGGCCGTGCACTATAGCCGCTACACCACCGTGGCGAAAAACTTTTTATGAAACAACCGCTCTTGGTCTTGACGAAAGACAAGTGATCTTCTCAAGACATTGCCTCCAGTGACATTCCCTGTTTGTGACAGTTTCTCATCACTCCAAGCAACGGTTGCCTCCTGAACTCCTGTCTCATTTGAGCACATGGTTTTGAAACACCCCAATTCTTCTTCTTCTTCTGAGAACTGGGAGTAATAATGGTTGAGTAATGCATATATCAGCACGCCTTCTTCACGCAGTATGTATCCGGAATTAGTTGAACGTGAACTCGAAAGCCACACGATGCATTTTCAGTTTGTTGCAGGAATAGGTAGCAGCAGTCAGCGATTCACGATTCAAATCGGGTGTATTATTTTACGTTGAAAAGAAAGTCGCACACTTTATTTTTCGCGGGTATGAGCGCGATTTCTCACCACCATCTGCTTTACCTGAACTGAACCTGACACCGCTTCCCATACGTCATGATGTGGAGTCATCAAATTTTTTGCACAGCATAATTAACATGGTCTTACCGCACCTAGGCCACACCCCGTTTCTCTTTTGCCAAGCGTTACACCACTTAAGGGAACCTAATATTACCATTTTTTTTGTGAATATTGATACACTTGAACCTCATTATATTTAAACAAGCGAGGTGCTGCCATTCGGTCGTCATAACCAACACTTCGTTATAGCTGCAGCAGCCACTTGCCGCTAATATTACGCGCCGTGCTTATCCAAAACCAATAGACCGTAAAATGTCAGGCGCGTCGCGGCTGTGCATGTTCTGTGCAGCGAGAAGAAGGTTCTGCATGGCTTCGCAGGCGGAGAGCAGCGTGTGCACGGCAAGCCATCCAGCTTCACATGTGCTGCCGGAGGATGCGTGATGGGAGTTTTCGAACTTCTACATACAGTTGTCACATTGCTCACCATCTTACATTGGCCTTGAGCACTGTAGTGACATTCGCTCAAAATTTTATTTCCAAATAAAATTTTTTTTTTCGATATCATAACAGGCAAATTTTACCGAATTAAATTGACGTTTTAAATACACTGGATTCTATAGGGAATTTTGAGGAGAATTGCGATTTCCTTGTTGTATTCATTATTTTGTTATAGCTCAATATATTGAGGCTTTACTGTATCTTTAAGTACAGTAAAGCCTTTAAGTATTTTAAGGTTACACCTGCAAATTTATTATAAAGGTATATGTATTCCAACACTACATCTATTGCAAGACTATTCTTTGTATACCTTGCTACAAATGATATTTTGTTATATCCGGATTTGTTATATCAAGGTTCGAGTGTATCACTAATGCAAGACTTTTCTTGTCGTCCCTACAGTTCGTTCTTTTTTTCGTTCTGATTGAATTGTATGACACTGTCGCTATATCCCCCTTACAGGGCTGGAAGTATGTACAAGTAAATAAATTAAATATAAACACGTCCACCGTACCACATTACAAGCACCTGCCCTTAAGCAACAAAAACAAAGTGTGGAAGCTGTCTAGAAAAAGCTTTCATACGTACTCAACTCGCGGAGATAGAAACAGCTGCGGCAGGATGCGGCTTCCCCTCCGGACTTTGGAAGGTCACTTGCAGGACGGCCATGTCCTCGGAGAGGTTCTCCTTTTTGGGGAACAAGCATTTCCATCACTGAGCAAGGCTGATTCACCGAGTGGAACAAGTGGTGTCTTAATAGGGTCATGAACCACGCTTCGGGCTTGGTGAGATAATGCGTCCTGCGGATAGCAGACACCGCTGTGAGGGGCTCGGCCAACTCTTGAAGACGTGCGCTCACGAGTTTAGAAGCGAAGCGCGGAGTTGCAATTCTATCAGGCGCCCTGCTTTCACAAAGAGACCTGTGCTCACTCGCTTCGGATTCGCCGGTACCTACTATTATTCACTGAACCGCAGATAGTATGCTTTTGGTCAGTATACGACGTAAATCAAGAGCGGCGTTTGGATCAGATCAACTCGGGGTACCGTGACGTGCCGGCGTCACACTCTATATAGCATGCTAACATTACACAGTGAGCCACACTCGTGCACAGGAATCGCAACGGGGGAGAGTGATTGCATTTTGCCACAAGTGCAAAAGTCATGATGCGCGTTGACATAACCGCTTTGCCTCCTGCTGTCCCTTTCTGTCTAGCTTAAGGTGCGCTCATCGAGCAAGAGAAGAGTGCCTAAAGTGCGCGATAAACACCTGTAGCTCCGCTCCTTCTTGATGGATTCGAGAAATCTTTGCAGCAACCGATTTGTAAGGCAGTAAACTCCAACACTAAAGCCATTGTATGATTACTGAGGGAAAGTGGTTCATGACCCATTTAAGCACCTTTCTAATGTATCTATGATAAATTCTATTGGCCTGCATCCATGATTACATCCTGTCAACAAGTATTTATGTATGCATAACTATTTAATGACAGTGTTCTGGACTACCCTGATAAAGTTATCAACAGGCAATTGAAGCAGCACTTAAACAAATATATATGACACCTGAAAATGAAGCAAATGTAAACTGAAGAACTTGACCATATTCAACAAACTAACAAGCACACAAAACAGTAACAACGAAAAAAGTGAGAAATACCTTTGCAAACACGGGCGGCAGTTTGGAGAAGTCGATCGGCAGTCTGATCCAGAACCTGACTGGACTGCCAGGATTCTGTTGGAGGAACCGAGAAAAAAACTGGTTTACTGCATGGTGCATGAAAGGAGGACAGAGGAGAAATAGAGAGAGATAAATGCCACATTCTGCATTTCTAGCACATTTGCTGCGCTACGAATGAGAGGACGTCTGCTGTCTGTCCTCCAGTCTTCTCACAATATAGACTCTATGCCGATAACGAATTGAGTACAGCTGTGTGCGAAATTCTGGAGACCATGGGAGCGCATGCCAAAGTGCATCACTGCACCTGCTGATGATTTTTTTTGGCTAACGTTGAGAGCATGGACCGAGCACACGTGTCCTTTTGTACCTTCGAGCCCGTGTGTTGACTTGCTTCAACTGGCTTGTATTGAAATGTGGGAGAGAGCTCAAGGTGCCGATTTCTGGGAAGCTTTTTTTCATTCTGTTCACCTTTTATACATGTCCATTTTAGTGCAGCGCATTCAGTAACTCAAAAAAGTGGCGAATAAATTATGGCACTCTTGACCACATCGACACACCGAACCCTCCAGCACGTTTCCAACGTGAAAAGAAATTGGACAAAATGGACAGTAATGAAACACTTAAACTTGAAAAGTGTGAATTGCGCATGAGCGTCTTCAGATGTTTGAGAACGATGCAGGAAATGCGTATCGATCTTCCAGGTGTGTTAGGCGGTCGGCCGCATTAAACCTAATTATAGGCTAATGTGATCAGAGTTCATGCATGGCCTCCGAAAGTGTGCGTCCAAAAGCAGATCTCCGGGCGCTGCATTCATTGTGGTGAGCGCAATGAATCCTTTCATTTATGTCGAGAGTTGCAAAAGCGTTCTTAACAAAATGACAATGTGGAAAAAGCAACCGAAATCAGGGGGTGTGCTTCTCGCCGAGCTCTAGCCAATCAGAGGCGGCGAAAGTGGACAGCCCACAAGGCGGACACGTTGAGAATAGTTCCCCTGCAGTCGATGTGGAAGCATTGAGTGACGATAGCATGCCAATAATAACTTCATTAGCACAAACCAGATATTATCAACCTGATATCGTCGCTAGGGTGCTGCCATGTCAACTGCAAAAGTAACGTCGTCCCACATTCACGCGCTTGAAGGCAGCGAACAAGAAGGCTGGAATGTGAAAAAGGGCGTGAATAAGCAGTACTGTCATTGCTGAATGCAAAATCGGCAGAGGGCGCAGCTCCTACTGGAGTAACGACTTCATCTTTCCGCAAAGATCTTGCACTTATGCTGTGGCTATTGCAAATAAGTGTTTTGTAAGGAGTGCCAAGTGGTCGCACATACTTTATTTATGGATGTTCAAGGCTGTCTTTGCCCTCACTGCTTCTTGACGGGTTCGTCCCACAGGCCCCATCCTTGAGGCAGTAGTGTTCCATACCGGCTATGGTATTTGTGATTTGATGATGGGATCACGGCTGCATCACCGCATGACCCAGAGTACTGGTGATAACAGTGACGGAAAAGCCACTTGCACTCTCTAGTAGCAAACCGTGATGCTTAACTTGTGCTGGCGCATGAATTTGCATGTTCAGCACCAACTTTTTTTAAAATTTCAGCTCTAACTTGGGATTGCAACCTTTACACAAGTACATGCAATAATTTTGCATTCGGCTATACAACAAATCGAAGCAGCAACATTCCCCAAGTAGATGTTATTTCGCGCACCTTCTTGTTGAGGTGCACCTGGATGTTTGACTCGGGGATGTCGGACTGGTGGACGAGGGAGGAGTACTCGAACTGCAGCCTTGGTGAATCATCCAGCATTGACGCCTGGTGTTTGCGGTACTGCTCCAACAGCTCCTGGATTACGTTCGTCAGTGCTTGGTCGTCCTCCGAGTCCCACTCGCAGAGACTCTGTTAGATATTTTTTTGGAGACAATGAGGAATTTAGAGGAAGGTTATAAGGCAGAATAATTAATCAACGAGTTCTTATTCCAAGTTTCCTGTAAAGTTTAAGTGCATTAAAACAAGCACTGATATAGCGAATTACCACTTAGCGCAAACAAAATATAATCTAGGTGGCCACACTCTATTTCAATGAATTTTATTGTTTGCACAACACAACCAACAACGTAACGCTTCATTATAACGAGGTTCACATGTAGTAACCGACTGGATCATGCGCAGCAGCTAGTTTTACAGTTACATAACCAGGTGGGAACTCTGTCGACAGAGAATAAAAACTTTCTTTGAAAACTGATGCACGCAGATGAGATGGCAGAAACTAACAGTGACCGGGACAGGTCATTTCCTTCTGGCCATTGTCCACAGCCAGTAGCACATGTCACCTAGCCCAAAAACAAGTTTTACGAAAACTAAGAGAATTAACAGTCACATAAAACCACCCGATTACTTTTGGCAAATGTTAAAAAAAAGTGACTATAACAAGAAATGACACCTCGAGAAAAAATGGACGCCTAAGCACCACCAGCAGAAAGAAGCAAAAAGAAAGGAGCCCGCAACTGATCGTTGTGATTGAACAGTTGCGTGTGACGCTCTTTTTTTGCGTTTCTTTCTGCTGGTGGTTACATATCAACTATCCCAGCCAAGAGTTCTGCTTGAAAAAATGCAATATAATCAATGACCTTTCGGCTCCTATGCACACACCAACAAGGTCCTAGCTTAGAACAGTTCATTTTGCACTATCAGCCAATCACGTAATTATGTGGTCACGTGACACAGACGAAGCGAGAACACTTACGGGCACTTCCTCTATGTTTGGCACGAACGACGTATCGTCGAAGATAAAATCTGGCGGAAGTTCTGGCTTGTGTGCTTGAAATATAACTTCCCCTGACAAAGAGGAAAGAAAAAAAGAAACACGAGCACAGACGCAATAACAATTAGCAACGAGAAGCCAAAGCAAACTTCTTGTGAGCATCGTCTATTAGGAAGATTGAACAAATTAGCTCACATGTCACAGTTTGTCCAGCGTAGGGCAGGGATATCTTGAACCTGTCGCACAGCTGCTTGGTTTCGTCCTTCGGACCCCTACGAATTCAAGAACACGGGTTCAACAAACAGAACTGAGATTCCGTGATCTACATCAACGTACTACGTTACATACAGTAAGCGAACGCATCAACAGCATTTTCGTTAGCAACGCACATTCTAGCTGAACGAAAACATGCAGTGCATCGTGTTAGTCGGGCAAACTGACCCACGCATTTTCAAGTTTTGTGGCACAATACCCACGGATTGAAGCGCGAACATTTAAAGCTAATTATTGCTCGTACTTTCGTTTCCAGCGTCTACAGTTCGCGTCACATCGACGTAATTTCGTCTGAAGCACATATACCGCGAGTATTAGCTGATGCCAGTCGTTATAATCAAAAGAACGACGCCACCTTCCAATCTGGGAGTACCGTAGCACAAGGGTAACATCACGGGTAATACACGCCCATCTATTTACCCGTGACTAGCGCTGACTAGTCGGATAGGGTGCGGTGTTGTCAGGTTTTGCATCGAGTGTTCGAGAAGGTTCTTGAGGTAGCAGCGAACCCTGGGCGCAAACACGGTGTCCATCTTCAGCCCTGTCGACCAGGAACACGTCCGAATATCCGAAACCCTTCTTGACACACGCACCAACTCTACTACTCTTCGTCGCCTTCGTTACCTTTCTCTACCGTTGTTTCCGTCTGCTTGCTAAAAAATCCAGAAGACAAGCCGACCAGCATCCGACCCGCCTCGTCAGTTTGAAGTCAAAAGGAGATCAAGTCGAAGCCATGCGGAAACCATGTGCGCGCGGGTTTGCGTGTTTTGCATTCAATATGTGGTCCAGATCGTCGTGATAGTGTAATTTAGGCGGATGTTTTGGGTGCTTGTTGTGATGATTTGGACGTTTGAATCTGTTCCGACTCGTGAATCATCATGGATCATGCTACCGGACCAACTGTGGCGAAGCGAAAAGGTACCGAAGGTACGGCTCTGTTTTAGCTCTACTCGTTTAAAAGTTCCTCCAAGTAAATGTTGATTCCGATGCCAATTAAGATAGTCTTGGTAGCTAGTGTTTTTTGGGCGGTGTGTTTTCTTAGCCTCTCATAAGCGTCTCTCAAGCCAAGTCGCTGAAATTACTATTATTATTACTACTACCTACTGCTACTACCACTAGTGGCACAATCTCGGTTACAGCTCGTTAATGGGCGATGTAAGAATAAAGTTGCGTCTCAGATTGCACAATAACTACAATACTTGTCAACAATCAGCTATGCGCTAACTGACTTGTTTGTTTGAATATTCCCAATTTCATTTGCAGCCTTACAGAGGGAGGTAGTGCGACTAGTGTAAAATGGCAGTCTTGGATTATGCGCATGATCAGGGTTGTTGGCGATAGAGGCGGTGAGGTGATCGCATACGGATGATGTTCCCTTTCTACGAATCACAGATGCAGACACAAATGAGGCCAAAAAGCTAAGACCAGATGATGCTAATGACGTGATTCCATCATCAGTTATGACTGCGTCAAACTCCACATTGCAGTTACGGCCCGTACTGGCTGACGAGTACGTCCGGAAGGTTGTCACAGGTATGACCGTACTGTTGTTCTGTAACGTCCTCACACACATCACTTTGCTGCTAACCCAAATGATCAATAATAACTTTTTGAGCAACAAAATGGCTCAAGAAAATTGACGGAACACGGTGCAGTGTCTTGTGTCGGATTTGTTGCGCTGTAACTTACCATGGGCAAGCACCAACTAGCCCATCAATGCATTGTGGCCAGCTGGTCTAATCCTTCACATTTTCTCTCTCCTCATAGTGCCCGTCTACGTCGGACGAATTGTCAATCGCAAAGAGACGTCCCGGCTGGTCAGGTGTGTCTAGCAGTAAGCAAGTCCGTAGTGTCTTTGAAAAGCCCGGTTAAAGATTGTGTCACCTCATTTCTTTTCCCTTTATTTTTACTAGGTGGCTGTCTGACTCGATACCGTTGGGCGAGCTGCAGCACCTGAAAAGAGTGCGCAGTACAGCAACAGGTTTGTTTATTAGACATCGCTGTAATGACGTTAGTGCAACGCTTTAATTGCACCAGAATACGTCATTGTTAAGCCAGTTAATATAACCTGGGATGCTGTTCTAGACATTTTCATAATCTGCCATCCTGTCGAATCTGATTGGTCTAGAGTGCTAGTGTAACCTCTTGGATTAGCTTAATATACTGCCATTTCAGAAATCGGCAATATGGTGGAATTTGAAAGTGCCCAGCATAGCACCCATTGCTGTTGCCTAGTTGGTTTTATTCGATATTCGACTTTTCGTTTATACACTTAGGTATGCAGGTCATACTTCGCCCAGTCAAACAAGATGACTCTGACGGTGCGAAGACTGTAGAAGACGTACTAAAAGCCGACCCGACTCTCACCGAAGGTCTGTCCGAGGATGCGATAGTAGTGCATGTACCTCGGTACGTGCCACTGACAAGATGCCAGTTCGAAGCGTCTAATGCAATCTGGCCAACGCAGTTCCACGAGGACAAGCTGTACGGTATACGCTGTTGCATTTGCCTAGCAGAAACTGATGCGTCCTCGTCGCTACTCTGTTGTAGGATTGCAAGGATACTCGGGGACAAATTCTTCACGACCAAGGACAAGGAAGAAATGGAAGGTTACATGAGAATGGCTCTTGGAGCAGCTCGCAAAAGCCTGGTAACAGCTTTCACCTGTGCAGCCTGCCATAGTAGCGGTACCATAGTAGTACCATAATTGCAGGCACAACTTCATTGGTGAGACTCTTGTAGTGTGCAAATTGCTCAGTGGGGCGAGGCAGTTATTTGCCGGTGCTGGCAGTTGCGAGAAAATACAGTAAGCCTTTCAAACTACTGTGCACCTTATTCAAAGTTAATGTTGTGGTGTATTATGTCTTGATTGCTGTTTTGTTGCATAGTTTGTACAATGTGGTGTTTATATTACTTGAGGCAGTTTTCCACATTTTGAGTTTAAAAAAATGTTTTTTTTTTCTCACACAGAGACTAAGTGAAAACTACTTCTGAAACCCTTATCCGCTTCCTACTATAAAATGCCTGACGTAAAAACTTTTCTTTCACGTTTGTTACTCTTTGGTCAAGACAGGTGTTGGGGTTGTCGTCATCAACCAGGACACGTCCACGCCTCTGGTCATTGCTACCAGAGACGCAAGTCATCCTCTCAAGCATGCCGTGATGGTGGCAGTGGACATGGTTGCCAGACAGCAAGGTGGAGGAGTGTGGCCAGTGACAGCCGAAGGTGGGTTATGTGTTATAAGCAAAGCACTGCTTAGCAACGTGCAAATTTCGAAGTAGTTGTACCTGTTTAGTATACTCAAGACAGGCGTTGCTTTGTTCAGAAATTAAATTTATGAAATTTTCCATTCTGCAGATGTCCTCTGTAAAGTCACACCTCAAGAACAGGAAGTGAACAAGAAGGCACCTTACCTTTGCACAGGCTACGACTTCTACATCACTCATGAACCGTGCACGATGTAAGTGGACTGATCAATTTATTACGGTAAAATCCTGAGCCAGCGCCGCTCCCTGTGGTAAAGGAAAATCTGACAAGAGTTGGGGGGTAGGCACTTGCTCGGTCACGCATCAAAATTCATGATGGCACAGGAAGAGCCGTTAAGAATAAAGAATGCACACCTGTGCTTCTAATTAAATGCTTCATTGAATATGCATGCATGCACTGTTTTCATTTGTCCTCTTTGAGCAGATGAAAACAGTGACTGCAACAGTGAAACCGGCGGGAAGAAGAGGGGTCATATTCCAAGTTTCCAGAAGAATGGAAGAGGGCAGTTGCTCGGGATATTACAGTGCTCTTGCAAAGTACGTTGAACCCGTTTGAATACGTGTCAACACCCTTACGGGATCCGATTGACCTCAGGCTGTCACAAGTAATCATCATTTTTCGGCTTTGGAGAAGCACGAACAATGGCTCTTTTTTGCCGGTCTTCTGCCATTTTCTGTTGTTCACGACTGACTGCTGGTACGAGGAGAACATTGTGCTCATTGTTTGCTGTAGCGAAGCAACTCGCAAACAAACCAGAATGCAAAGTATGAACAAGGCAGCCCTGCAGTGCACATTGTTACTGCTTTTGTACCCCACAGTTAAACACTGTTAACTTGGTGTTGAAAATGGTGATGACATGTAGAAAGAAACATTGCAAGGCGATGCTGCATTGTCGTTTTTTTTTTCGATGTGTCAATGTTGTTCGTGCCATTTTATCAAGACGATCAACGAGTACCAACTTGTCCAAATATCGTCTCACCTGCAGCTTAGCTCCTGAACACTCTGTTTGTACGAGCAGAAAAGGTAATAATAATCGCATAGCGAGGTACTTTAAATCAGGCTAGATGAGTGCACAGGCTGTCGCAAACCAGCCTAACTATTATTACGTTCTGTTCGTATTCTATTCTGGCATAATGATGAAGTTGCGGCGTTGCTTGGCCGCCTCGAAGTGAGGAAGACGAAGATTCAAGTCTCTGTGCTGCAATGACTGCCCACTGGTAGACGCTTCGCTGATATTAATGATACTAATAATCAGCATTGCGCTGGAAAGTATATGTATGTCCGAATAACAACCGACTAGTTGTCGACTACACTGCAAGAATGCCTCATTGCAGTTGTGACATCTGGCCTGAACGGATGCTGCACACGGCTTGAAGATTCACGCACTTCTGATTGAGACTTCCACGTCTGTGTTTTTCGAACAGGTGCGCCATGGCGTTGGTGCACTCGAGAGTTCGCCGGGTCTTCTACGGATGCCCGACGTCGCATGGTGCTTTGGGCTCGCTCCGAAAGCTGCACGTCCAGCCAGCCCTCAACCACCATTTCCAGGTGTGGTGCGGACTTTTGGAGCAAGAGTGCGCAGCCCTCAATGACAGTACCCAAGAAGATTGTGCAACCTCGACAGAGGTCAACAATTCTTGACATGGCATTCCTGGTTGCGATCTGGTGGTGTGTTTGTGACATCTACGTAACCGTCAACTTATCATGTGTGGTGAATGGTTGGGGCTCTCTTCTGCAGAACGTGTACAACAACGCACTCGTCACACTGGTCTAAAAAAAAAAAGGCGCATTTGGTCACTGGCGTGGCATTTGGGTTACCACCTTTCGTATGCATTCTTGACAACCTTGTACCCGTTCGTAAAATTTAAGCAAGCCTCAACCAATTGTCTCAACCAATCGAGTGTGTCGATTGGTTGAGGCTCTCTACTTCAGAAGATGTAAAACACACACACCCATCTTTTCCTTCTGATAAAATTAAGACGCATTTTGACCACTGATGTGCCATCACGGGTTACGATCTTGTACACATTTGTGACGTTTACGATATCCTCTACCAATCGTGTGTGGAAATTGGTTGGGGCTGTCCGTTATAGAATGTGTACATCACACCCCTCTTCTCGTTCCGGTAAAATAAAGAAAAGAGACACATTTCCACCACCAACATGGCGTTCGGGGCTGAGATCTTGTATGCATTTGTCACATATACGTAAGCCTCAACCAATTATGCTTGGTGACTGGTTGAGGCTATCTCTAACAGAATGTGTATAACATCACAACCCGCTTCTCGTATCAGTGAAATAAAAAAAAGACACTTGTTTATGTTAAGTTTGGCTTTTATTTTCTTTGCGGGACACGAAGCCTTCTTCTATTCGAGTTCCACGACGTTTGTTTTATTTAAGTAGAGTCCCTCACTCTTTAGAACTCAATACACCTACACTCTACAAAGCACAGTGTTGTTCATCGTCTTCGAAGGCAAAAAGCAAACAGTCCACTCTTCCAGAGTAGACTAAGTACAAGAAAACGCTTAGTTTTGCTGAACGGCTTTCCTCGCATTGCAATTCAGCAGCGCAGTACTTCAACGGCTTTTCCAACAAAGGGAAACACATCTACCTATACACAGTCTGTAGCGAAATTGCGGTAATAGAAAAAGTTGCACCAACCCACAGCGATGTAACCTGGCCATGACGTCGATCAGCACCAAAATAAAGGCCCTACACAACACAGTTTTCAATCGTGTTACGTTTGTACCATTGTTCTTCTGCGTTCCAAAGACCAGGTAACGGTATCCGCCAGAAAAAATTTTTAGTTGCCCTTTTTTTTGTTATTAACTCTGGAAAGAGACCTTCCCTACACTCAAAATGACAGTGTCGTCAGTGCATTAGTGGCAACTCGTGCAAAAACAAGGCACTGTTTTTGTGAGTATAGCTTCTTGATACATAAGTATGTATACATGTACATATATATATATAAAATATATAACTATGGTGACAGTAAAACAAAAAAAACAAGATGCTCTAAACTATACACAGGGTGCCCGTACACGTCGACCTGGACTCTGCCATGACTTGTCGGTTTGTAAAAATAAAATAAAAAAGAAGAAAAGTGTGTGTTTGTTATGACACGGTACCACAACAAGACATTTTTGCACGACAAAACTACAAAAGCTGCAAGTCGGAACGTTTGAGCGAGTTTACGATGCCACAACGATGGTTGCATCTGAAGCGTGGCTACGCGTAGAATAAAACAGAACAGTGGTACGTGAAATGAACAAGAAAGAAAAGCAAACTCATACGAAGGAACACAAAATAAAGGTGCGCCTGACTGGAACGAACAACGTATAGTGGCGCCGTTCGATCTACTTGTCGCGGTGTTAAGCTTAAAATGTGCGGCTCCTGCTTTTCAGAAATCTAAAATAAAGAGATAAAATAATTACATCAAAGGCGGAAAGTCCATTATAAGTTACAGATATCAGAATTAAAAAAAAAAAAAAAGCTGCCCTAGAACCTTGGGGAAGAGCCAACGAAGAAACAAGAACAGCTTCAAAATTGCACAGGGGTAAGACCAAGAGGTACAAGGCTTTGTCTCGTGAAATAATTTCCACGAGCTTATTTGCCGCAAGGCAATTGTTTCACATAACTTTTTTTTTTGTGATGGTCTCGACTCTGTATGCCCCTTTGATGAGCTCATTTTTTGTGTGCCAGTTTAAACGCAACTCCGAAGCACCTGAGGTAAGCTCGCGACTGCGCAGACTTTTAGCGCTTCCGGAAGAGGGACAGAACGCCCTTCTTGCGGTCACGCGACTTCTTGTCACCGTAGTCGCCCTCCGACGAGGGTACCCTCTGGTGCCGATGATCCAATGTTGCCGAGTACTGCTGCAAGTTGCCGGCCAGGTTCGGCGGTGGGTTGCCGCTGCCCGGAAGCGACGCGTGTCGCGCTACTGTGGCTCCCGATGGGGTGTCGCCGCGTGGATGGTATGTCTGTAAGAACAGTGAGGTGGATGGAGCGAAGGTTAGCACAACTTGCTGTAGCATTTTAATTACGTGTCATCCCAGTGCTTGAACCACGAGTTACACTAAGCATGGCTTGAGAACGTACCTCTCTGTACTGTACTTTGTCTTCTGCACGGTTTTTGCTATAACCTGCACAGAAAAGAAAAAATGTTTAGAAAGAGAAATCTCCGCCATGCTGCGCTGTGCAAAGCGTCAATGAATTCCATCTGTGCACCAACTTGCGAGGAGAACCATAGGGAATATTTATGTAAAAGGAAGTGTAACACAGAGCAGAAAATTTAAGGACACTTGAGCTTTGATTGCAAGAGTGATACACGACACCATAGTCTCACACCATTCGCATCATCTTGCCTGCCATGCTCTGCTTCTCGGAGGCCATGCAGAAAGGAAGGAAAGTCGGTGTGCATGAAATTAGCCATTTGAAACTTTCTTTGAATGCATACCTACTGCAAGTGCAGTTGCGAAGGGTCCACTATGCCATAATTCAGCACACTGTGAATAAGCCAGGTACTCACTATGGTTACAAAGGGCAACAGGCGAGCTGCTGTTGCTGCTACTGCTGATAGATCACGTTTAAGCGCTTTGTAGGGCGTGGGCCTTCAAACCGTCATCTCGTGTTTTCACACCTGGTGCGATTCTATGCTTGTGCCACGCAATATTGCATGCATTAAGGAGACTCCTCGCAAGCACTGGCATCGCTCTGTAGTAAAACACATGACTGCCACGCAAAAGTCCTTGGCTCAATTGCCACTTTTTATTCATTTGCATCTATTTCACTCCTTCGCTCTCAACCAACGACACTGACACCATCATTATCAAGACATGCGCTCTTTAACACTGTCACATTAATATAGAACACCTGCAGGTGACAACAGTCTTTTGCATCGTGATAATGTTCAAGTATCCCAACCTCCTAGATCATGACCAGGTATTGGCGGTATAGAGACAAGTAGACGATCATGTGGGGACAGAAGATGGCAAGTGAAACGACCGCGGCAGTGCTTGCGCAGGGCGACGAGGCAATTGCGACGGTGTGAAAGCGACGCAGTGGTTTCTTGTTCGAACCAAGCATTACCTCTCCTCCATTCCTGGTCGCCGTCGGAAAGGGTTCCCGCGATGTCGGAGTCCGAGTCTTCTGGCCGTCGCGGCTTGGGTGGGGGTTGGCTCGGCAATGGCGGCGCCACATAGGCCGGAGGGGAGTCTGTTCCGGAACAAAGAGAACGAGCGTGTCGTTGAGCCAATGAGTGTACGAACGATCACTGATGGCTAATTGATTGACTGATTCTGTCACTATTCTTAGAAGAAAGCTTTTTTTCCTTGGGAGTCTCTATCTAAATGCGGTCGCACCTAGATATATGGAATCTAAAGGAAATCACCGAGAAAGTTCTCTATATGGATAATTCAATATATAAAGTACTTGACAGATAAAAAATATTTCAAGCATAGAGTTTACTAAAATAAATAGAGGGCACTCTGGCGCTGCGATCGTTTAGTGACCATGGGAAAGATGGGTAGTACACGGATTTGCCCAGTATTCGTACTTGCGGGCATTGAATTGCACTTGTGGATTCATTTATTGCTGCATTCCGGTTCTGTTTCTAAGAAAAGAACGAACCCCTTTGAACTTCGTGACCCGATATGAAATGGAAAGCCTAAAAGAATAAAGTGGTGAAGTGCAACCGCTGAACATTTGCCGATTTTCGTTTCGTGAGAAAAAAACTGCAAGCCACACGAACACACACGGAGCCAGAAGTACGAAGATTATACAAATCCGTGTACTACCCATCAATCCATGCTCGCTGAAAAGTCGTGCATTGCAGCTCCCATAGAGACTAGTGCCAGAGTTCCTTCTAGCGTATATTTAGGAAACTCTACGATTTCAAGGGCCCTTTAAAACTGATATACTACACTAAATTCATTTATCAGGGTCCAACATATGTGGGTTCGGCTGTACATAGGTACACAAAATGGTGTGCTAGGCATACGGTAAATGTCATGTACCTTGAAGATGTTTGCTGTGTTAAAAAAAAAACAGTATAAGTATAGTGTGGAAATCAGACCTTTAATTCGAGCTGTAAATTTTCACACATGTACTGGCGAAAATTACAACAGTTAAGATGAAACAGAAGCATTAAATTTACAACCCCATAATTCAGCAACAACAGGCAACATGACAATTTAGTAAACTGCAGATCAAGACGACTAAGCAGACAAACATTTATGCACTGTTATGGATAGCTTTAAAGCATCGAAGTTTTGTTCAGCATTGCGAAAAATTCATGAAAAATGTAAACTTTGTACAACTGAAAACACATCAAGGAGAGTGTATTATTCTAAACACCAGTCTCCGAATTCCTCTCCATAAGGAATCTTTCAGAGTACCGGAAAGGGGTTACTTAGTTCTCGTGTTGGCGTTGCAAGCTAAACTGGATCCCAACTCTATGGTTCAGTTTCGAAACTTGATTCCCATCAAGCACCCATAAAGTGCCCATCAAGCACTGTACTAATTAATGCACGAGTTGCTTCCATCACTATTAGCTACTACCACAACAATCATTCTCGCTATTTCAGAAAGAAACCAACTTGCCTTCAAGACCACTTGAACTGTAGCCATCCGCTGAAGTTCGATTCGTGGTTGGCGGCGTCCCGATCATGGACGATGGGCGGCTTCCGTAACCGTTGTGCACATTCGGAGGCGAGTAGCCATCCATCGATGACCTGTTCGCTACCTCCTCGGCTAAAAGGTTGCCTGTTTGCCGAGAGCGGAAGAAATCTTTAAATGTTCACGACAAGAAGCGCAAGCAACGTTGTTCGCACAACACAAGTTCGTATGATGCAATGCCAATGTAAGAGTAAAGCGTAATGGTACAGATCTCAGATTAGTGCAGCTCAGTACGTGAGGATACTTGGGAATTTTTAAATTGGCAAACTTAGCTACAACGAAAGTTGGCATGTAATAAATGGGTTATCATGACACCACCTAGAGCATGCTTCCATAGAAGTCGTACATTGTTCCTGCTAATTTACAGAAGAAATTAAAAGTCTTGCATTCAATTATGGTTTTGAGACACTCTACTTTACTTTAGGACACGATTTTTAGGGTCCAAGTAAGTCGAACGTGACTGGAGCATAAGACGTATCGGTACAGCTTACCATTATGTCTTAAGCTCTTAATGCACAGCAGTGAATCAGTATTTCTGACAAACACATGTTTGCCTTCAACTGCATAACCTTCTTCTTGAAAAGCCTGCACCGCTTTTCTTCATAGCATTGTGTCTACTTCACACCAGGGTATGTGATACACTTAAAACT